ATGGGATACAATACTTATGGTAGAATCAGGGAAGTGAGGAAAACACGGCAGTACAGGAAAACCGGGGTAAGAAATGTCAGTATCACACCAGACACCAATAAACAATTTTGCAGCTTCTGCCAAACATTGTGTTTGAATGTTTTTTAACCCATTGAGTGGCAGCACTCTCACCCTGATGAGTAAATAGTCTAGTGTTAGACAGTAAAATAATCTGGCATTAGGCAGAGCAAAATAAAAGACAACTGGTTGATCATTTGAGCATAGATAACTGGTTGATCAGTATAAATCCTTGCAATTCATCACACAGTAGTCAATACATTTATATATAGTGTTGCGAACTGAATTTCCTCCATTTCATTCTCTACAACAAGCGCTACTACTGGGCGCTTCTTCCATCATTCGGTGTGTATGAATGTCTGTGACAGTCCGTCAGGGCAAACAGGACTTATTGGTAAATTAAAACAGTTACAATCAGTTGGCTGATGCAATTTTATTGGTGGAAGTACACTGTCCAACTCATCATCTTGACTATCTGGGTCACATGGTGGGATTGCTTGGGATGTTGGTGATGTTGAAATGTCAAACTCCCACAACATAACATATTGTTATATTCTTTGTTTATACCTCCTTCCCGTGGACCATTAGGGTCGAAGAACTACATGATATGAAATAAAAATTCGTTTAATACTGCTGTATTACAACAATTTTAAGTAAAATATATCAATCACATGATAGACATAGATGACTGTACTTTAATATATAATTTTACAGTATAATACAGTATGAGATGAGAGCATTTTTATATTTCTATTTTATATAAATCATCTTACCTTAAAAACACAACTAGAGTGAATTTGTACCAGTGCAGGACCACCGCAATGACAGCGAACAATTTCAACTATAAACATGAACCTCACGACATTCAAGTTCATCACACGGTAATCCTTCAGGAATCAAGATTAAAGGCTGTTTTGACACACAGTGAACAAACAGAAGCTCGTGTCCACCCAAAAGCGAAGCTTTCTTTCCATGCACAGTGCAAAAATTCACCATTTTACAATTTTTTTCTTTAAATCTTTTTCTGAATCTCTCGAAACCTCGAGGTGTAAACACAACGAAAGCCGACCGAACAATGACGGCGCAGAGCGAGAAACAACCTCGTCCCCAGGGTCTTCCTGGTGGTGGCGCGCGAGCTGAGGAAGACCCTGGTAAAATACGATGAAATCTCCAAGATTCTTGGAGATTTATCGCATGCGCAGTAACGACAACGTTATGTTGCTGACTACAATTAGCGCTGGCGCTTACGATTTTCTTGCTTAAATATACATGTTTTGTTGAGTGTTTATCATGATTTATTCTCAAAGTTTTAACAACTTTTACGAAAAATACTTCAGATATAAGCTGTGAACACACATGTACACAAAACTATGCAACATTCATCATCATATTGTATCAATTTGTCGGAGTATGGCGCTCATATTTGTGACATTGTTTTGTTCGCTTTGGCAACCCTCGTATATATCAGATGCTGTTCGGCCTCAAATACGACTGAATAAACACTGATAGTGTTGCCTGGAATATGAAACGATATTGAATGATTGTTCCGTATATCAAGGTACGTACTGTACATTTATACTGGATTTATTTTCACACGAGTTTCAACTGAACTATTTCAGCTTTATGAACAATGAGATCACATCACTAACATACAGAAAGACTCCATATTTTCTCATCAAATCTGATTATCGTTACAAGTAACAGTAGAAATGCTT